GGAAACTGTGGACCGTGTGAGTCAGAGTACGAGGTTGGCTACTATGATTTCTTTTAAGTCATGATCTTGATCATCTGAAACGTTTTGTTTTGATGAGCCAAGAAATATGAGAGATGCTTTCACTATTTGGTTGGCTATGTAATTCCTTGAAAGCAGAGTAGCTAGCAATTATCGATTTTGCGTCATATGTACAATTTAAAAGGGTATAATTGATTGGATTGCACTAAACTACCACAGTTTAATAAATGCCATCCTGGTGTGATAACTTAACTGAACATCATGTACATTTAGATACTTTAATACCATTCCTGTTAGATAAAAAAAAATTGGTTGCGATAAAGATTGTGAATCTCCTTATGATTTAATATGTTTTGTGTGTCCATTGCAGTCTTGCTTCAAGACACTGGACCCCCTCATCTATTTCAACAGAAAAAAACAAAATAAAAAAACAGATAGGAGGGTCCACTTTCAATCTCAATGTGATAGAGGTACGAGGATGTTATTTATGCATTATCGCTCATCAGCTTTAAATTTTTATTATGATAAGTTAAGGCTTAAATTGTAGTCACACATTTGGAAAAAAACCGAATTGATTGGCTCGGTGAGATCAGAGATTTATTGTAAACTGAAAGAGTGAAAACGAAGCTCTCTTTTAAGAAGTGAAGTCGAATGAATGCAAAGGGGAAATTCAATGAATATACATGTACATGTATTATTATCACCACCTTGTGAGCCCCGTTCTCGAGTATCAGTGCTAGTTAGAAGGTTCATATACTACTATATTCAGACTTGAGCAATAGTGGCGGGCCATCATGGTCATTATCCGAGTTTGTTTGCAATAGGTGATAAGCCTCATTTTAGCGGGCAACATAATGAAATCTTGTCAAAAAAAAAGTCAATTGATTGCACACAAATACAAATAAACTTTGATTATCATTATTACAAATGTTAAATGTTCTCCGGTAACATTATTTTGTAATTCATTCATTTTTATTAGTTCAGCTTACTGCCAAAAGGGGGCAGCACAATACCTGATTAATCGACTGATTTTCAGCCGTTAGAATTTGATTTGATTACAATAAATCCTTCAAACAATAATATAGTCTGCAGGGGTTATACTATTACCCTTGTTGTGGCAACCAATCAGAGTTTAGCTTGGTGTATTGTATGGAGATCCCCTGGCTTTGTGTCGTGTTCAATATAGTTTATAAGAGTATTGATTGGAAGAGAAAGTGGCACCTCTAGCCTCCACGTAGGGTTTGTATGCAAAACATTGTCAAGGCATAGCTAAATAAGCCCTTTTTTAATTTGGTCCTTTTCTTAACGTTTGCTGGTTATTTATTAAAAGTTAAGACTGAAGAGTTATTGAGCACAACATTATATTTAAATGGATTTGTTATTAAAAGAAGGGTGTTATTTTTTGGATTTTTGATTGATTCTCATTATGATACCAGATGGAGGGTAACGCCAAACTTAAGTAGCATTTACCGGTGTGCAAAATAATCGTTACTTTGTACATAAATGAGTATCAAATTCAAACAAATATATTTCTTAACGCTTATTGAGCTTTGGTTGATTCATCAATTCTGCAGTAAAGGTCGCTCTTTGTTGAAAAAAAGTTTAACGAAACGCAAATATTAATTTTTTAGTCAACAAAACATGTGGGAATCTACCAGATTGCCTATTTTAAACAATTCTATTGAAATGTGAAATGGTCTTACACCATGTGTTGTATGGTGATAGGGTAAGCCACAATTGTTGTTAAAACACGCCAAGGCCAAAGTGTGAATCATGTATTTAAGGTCCTGCCCTCCCTTTTACTATATTTGCCATATTCTAACATGTGATGTTTGTGTTACAATTTTTAAGCAATTGTAATAATGTATGCATGTACTTTTAGAAATGATTCTTCTAATATGTTTTTATTGATTGTACCTGATATGCTGTACAAACAAAGGTTTTCATAGTTTTTGAAATTATTTATATATGTTTCCAGTATGCAAGTTGATATAAAAAGTAAAAATAAGCATGTACTTTTAGAAAGGATCCCTATGTATATTTTGATTGATTGTACCTGCTATTTTGTACAACCGACCGAAGGATTTGATGGTTGTGCAATTTTAGTGAAATTAGTAAAATTTGGTTTTTTGATTTTTTCAGTTTCTTCATTTTTAAGTTGGAGCTAGGAGAGTTACATTGTTGCTTTTTATAAATGGTGCCAGTAAGCAAGTTTTGGGATAAAAGGCCCAAGTTAAAGGGACATTCATTACAAGCTCGTTCCTGTGAATTTTTCAGAGTTTTTACCCCCTTCTGACTATTGATGTTCTACTAGCCTCCTTTAATGACAAAAAATAATGTAAATTGAAGTAAAAAATCACAACAAACTATTTCTTTTAAATTTTATTGAAGTAAGATTTATAAGCTGATTTATAAGCTCATTGATATATCTGTAATGATGTATAAGTGTTTCTTTTCAATGGAATGTAGGAAACATTGGGGGGCCTCTCCCGTGAATTTAATATCATTGATATTAGGCATGTTTATAGATAGAGCAAATGCTCGAAATTAATGAATCAGAGAAATAATATATTTGTTAAACTTGTCGTTAACACTCTAAATTATATTACATGTAATTAAATCAGGTAGTGTTCTTGAAGTTCATGAGAAAAATGACAAGAGATAATTATGCTTGGTTGAAATTTTAAGCATGGTTTAATCTCTTTGTAGAGGGGCTTATACTTTACAAAGTATGTTATTATTGTATTCCATGTGAAAGAGCTTAGCTGAAATTTTAACATGTACATCCAAGCAACCATTGTTTTGTTAAAAAGGCCGCCATGATATTGGTAAACAAACAGCACTTTTTCATTTTTGAAAAACGTGAGATAGTCTTGTAAACAACAATGTAGTAACACAGGATGAGAAAATATGTAAATAGTTCATGTGAAATCAGTAACTGCATGTAAATATAGGTAAGAACTAGTATTTCAATCTGTTAATCTGTATAATTGTATATTTTGATCTGAATTTGTTTCTAGTTCCTGAAAATTCATAGAATAATCTGTTCTTGAACTTACATATTTAGTTATACAGATGCACTATTCTACAAAATGCAAAAAACCTATTATGCACTTATTGTATGACAAAATTTCTTTATTTGTTATCCTGATTTTGGCAGATGTTGTTGAATTATTTCTTTCATCTGTAATTATGATTTTAATATTAACTGCAGGTGAATCTCACTAAATTTATACATGTGTATCATTAGACTAACATGTATTAATATGTAATTTGATAATTTATGTATTGTGTCAAGTTCCCAAGAACCCCAACCCTCTTATGAGGGATGAGTTATATGTATATATCTATCTCTATCTCTCTCTCTCTATATATATAAAAAGGGGAGGGGGAGGTGGTCCAAGGATTTGATGCAATACAAATATTATATAAAAAGAGTAGAGTTCCCATGTTAATTGTTGCAAAAAGACATATCAGGATTTATTGTATGATCTGTAAAATGAAGCCCTCTGATTGGTCAGTTCTTGTGCGGTACCAATCTGTATTGCTACTGAGATTGTCCCCATTGATCATCTTCGTTGCAATACAGAAAATATTGGTATGGAGGGGACAATCTCAGTAGCAATACAGAGGATCACACGATAAAGACGTTATTGTCTCGATATTCTGTATTGGCACTCGACTTTGTCTCGTTCCAATACAAAATTTCTCGAGCAGAATATATCATGTATTGCACTTATATCATGTATTGCACTTCAAATCATTCAATAACTTATAATATTTGTGTTGTATCAAGTCATTGTCCCCCTCAACTTTTTTCTCTTAAGGGGGAGTGCAAAGGGGATGGGGGAGTAGCACAGGCCATGCTTTGATGCAAGACTAAGGAATTATATCATTGGAACACCTCCTTTGAATTTGTTACTGTATATTTGATATTCATGGTAAAAATGAATCCATATCACATAATATAAGCCCTGTGGCTCTCATGAATTATACCCTCATAATATAGGTTCCAAATTTCAAACCATTTTCAGAAAACAAATTGGAAAGATGATTCCAGGCAAAATTCTAAGGCATGACAATTACAATAAGTGCCATATTGATCCCATGGGCTCTCTTACAAATCTCACATTTTGTGTGTGAAGCTATTCCTGTTTAAAAGAGAAGAACATTTCTGATATTTTTTATCCATACTCTTAATTGCCCCAGGAATATATTTAAATATGGATCAAATGGGTGTGGTATTTCTCTTAATCAAAACCAGATTTTCAGCTCGATGTTTTATTAAGATTTCATGATAGGAATTTAACATTTATCTTTTATCCAAGATCAACCAATACAGCTGGAGCGAACATATTGGACTTTTTTATTGACCCAGGGAGCCTAAATCAACTTTTTGTCACATCTTGTTTGTGAGCAATAATTTCTCATATATTATCAGGTCAGAGTTTTAACAGGGTTATAGATACGGGGAGAGATTAAATGGAAAACAGTCTGGATATAGGGGCTAGGTACATTATTTTTCAATCCCAGAAATATTAGAAAAAATGCAGATGTTGATCAGAGATATCCGGGTTAAGTCCAATGCTGGATTATAAGGTTGTCATGTCTCCAAATTACAACTGAGTTAGAATGTATAATCATTACTACAACGAGTTGCGCTTTGGGATTCGGAGACATGGCGGCCACTTAATAAGGCTAGTGATCTTTAAATGAAAAGTTCAAGAGTACCGCCAGGAATGCGATTGATTTTTACTGGAATAGAATTATGATTTGTTTTTCAAAGTGAGGGCCCTAATTCAAATTGGGAAGAATATTATGGATTTATATTTTACCATTACAAGGGCATTGGAGGTATGTAATAATACATTTTAGGGTTTTGAGCATAGAAATACATTTTAGTCAACAGGGGAATATCTTTGATTTTAGAGATGGAAACATAGGATGTCATAGCAATCACTAAGTGCAATAGTTTAATCACCATGACAACCAGATCTGAGGGCATACCCAAAGATTTAGATGGGAAACCAGTAGCAATAATTTTAAAAGGGTAAATATTATTATTTGTTGAAACAGCATTTGTTTATCATTCAATTTAACAACTCAGTTGACATAGCAATGATCAGTATACTTGTACATATGTATTATATAGATTTTGATAGATAGGTATTCACTAGATAGATATGTACAGTAAAACTTATTTATAATGAACACCTTTCTAATTGGAAAATAGTGTTCACTTTAGATAGTCATTCATTATATAAAGTTTTTTATAGAAGTTAGATGAGTTATTTTCTGAGATATGGTGTTCTTTAGGAATGTTTGCTTATTAGAGAGGTGTTCCCTAAGATAGGTTTTACTGTATATATATGCATACTTTGGGGGTTTCACTGTGAAAGGTTTTCCTATATTCTTAGCTACGCAGATAGATCCCATGCAAGGTGCTACCACTGTCAAGAAAAATTCAAACCAGCCGCAGAAGCATTACGTCACTGTTTCACAGACCACCCTGACCTTGAGATATGCCTTCTTCGGCCAGTTTATGGGGAAGATGGGTCAAAGGTCAGCCGATCAGTACATTATGGTGTGACCCCTATAGACATGAAAGATGTTGAGGTAGAGGACCTAACCCTTGACCCTGAGTCGTGGAGATTAATTATCAATCCAAAGGTCGAAGAAGAAGAGATTGAGAGCCCAGAGCCAACTCCAAGGAAACAGAAAGTCCGGAAGAACGCGATTAATAAGCAAGCTGAACTTGAAAAACAATTGAAAAATGAGGTAACTGTGAAATTATGGAATGTTTTTCTAGCTTCCTTCATTTTGTTCCCCCTACCAAAAACAGGGTACCAAAAGATATTGTTATCAAAGCAAAAGAATAATGTTTGTCATATTGAGTCTAATGCACTGAGTTATGATTGGGGTGACCACTCCATTCATATAACTTAATATTTTACCGAGGCTGTGTTCTAGACTGTGATTAGAAAATCAAAATTACCTCTTTCATGATGGCTTAGATGATTTAGTGAAGGTTTGCCAGCATAACACACGAAAAGCTGTCAAACTTGATCCTATAAATCTCTATACTTACAATCCCCCTGTCACCTGAGTGCTCAATTCTCTCTGCAAACATAATGGATGTGTACAGGTTAATCTGACCATAATATGACTGAAAATGTTTGTTTTATTCATTTTTGCATTTTTAGACATTTTTGTCATGATTGTGGAAAAATAAGGTGTGTTATGCCTTGTCATGGTATGCGTTAAGTGTCATTAATTTAAGGCGGCTGAACAAATTATCATCACATCATTCTGTATTCTTGCTCTATTAGCACCTTCTTAGAAATAAACAAAATTACTGCAATTTTATATTTATAGATATCCTTATGGTCACCTTAGAAAGTATGGGTATAACTATTTTCACATGTTGCCGGTTTTGTACTTTTTGTGATTTATGAGGGTTAAAGTGATTCGGTTCCTCAACCTTGAACAAACTATGAATTTGTTTTGGCCTTAGCTCATGTAAATACAGGTAAAGAGCTAGGATGATTAATTATCACACAGTTAGCTCTCACTGGGAGTACTCAGGTTAACGAGGCAAATAATTACTACACCACTCGCTATACTACATCTAGCGTAAGTAAAACCTTCAAGACGGTCATATTTTAAAATCCAAAATCCAGTCATAAAGAGGGGATTTTGAATGGAATTAACAGGATAGAATTAAAGTTGATGCTCTTAATTGTAGGGAAATGTTGGAAAATGAGATAGTTCATTCAAATTTTAGAGAGAAAAGGGGAGGAATAGGCATGACCAGATAGGTATGTTTTAAGAGACGGAGAATAATTATCAAGATTGAAGACTTGTTGAGTGGCTCAATGATAAAGATCAGTGATTCTAACATGTGTGAGAAATCGAATAAACTAATGATATAAGACCTTAACAAAAACAGAAAAATTTAGATAATTATCATTACTCATTATCATTACATCATTATCATTTATTCTGTTTCATCTTGCTGTCGGAAATGGTTTTTAAAATGTGTTTTTTCTTATCCTCATCATTCAGACTTCTAAAAACTGCTAATGCATTGGAAGGTTCAAGACAGAAGGGGCATGGTTATCGCCAATCACAGATTATAGTTTGAAGTCTCTTTATTATAGATTTTATAATTATATTATATATACTGAGTATTTATAAATTTGGTATAATATGAGCTAAACTTTAGTTGATATATCAACGGTTTATCTCAATGAGTCATGTGTATTTTGACCCATACACTAAGATAACAGGGTTGTTTAATCATAGGAAAATGTCCATTTTCTGATAACTGAATCTACAAGGAAACTCCTAGACATGCAACCGTGTTGAATGAGGGGCAGCCAACTGTGCAGGAAAGTGGTGAGATTATTTTTGTTTTCAATCAAAGCAGTGTGAAGGATATAGACAAATGGACATTTTTAGCACTTAGATAGGCTAGACCATACCAGTAAACTAATTTTATTAGGTTTCTATTTTCGCCTCGTCGGTAGAACTACATTAGTAGTAGTGAAAATGAAGTAATTGACATCAGATTGAACATGATTTTTGATTGGTCGCCAAATAGACAAAAATGCATGCACGGTAAGTGAGCCATACATTATTGCATCGAGGAATCCATTAATGAACAAAGATATCAAAAGAATTTAGTTCAGATTGGCCAAAGTTCAACAACTTTAAAGTAACTAACTAGAAGATTGTAGTCAGTTGGTATTGTAGCTATGTATATTTGATCATTTTACAAAGTTCAAAATGGGGGAGTTTTACCACTGAATTGAACAGGAAATGAAATGTTGTTGTATCCATGTACATATGGAAATTAACAAATATTAAAATCGGGGTGTTGGGGGACGCATTTAAGATGTGATTTGATATGTAGTAAATAATGGAACTGTTAGATGAGGAATCTGTTGAAGAACTCAGGAGATTGGAACTGAAGTTGAAACTTGAGGTAAGAGTCTTTTAGACAGAGGGAAAGAACATCTTCATGATGATTACTCAAAATGGGATGTGCCTGTAGTATTTGTACAGTAAAACCTATGTTATCCAAATGCCACTGGGACTGTTCAAAAGTGTTTGGAATGGCAGGTAAACTTCAAAGTTTTAACATGGAAGTCTATAGTAGATTACCAAAAGACCAATCATTTTGAGAGGTGTTCGGATTAGAGAGGTGTTCGGATATATAGGTTTCACCTTACCTTCGTGTGAGGTATACAGAACAAATAGGAGAAACATGAAACTTATATAAGAGCGATTTTTGATTTTTTTGAATGCAATACAAAGGTTTGGTTTGCCAGGAACTTGTTTATCAGCTGGTTAAGGCAGTGGCTCACCTGATAGAGAAAAAAGACAGTTAAGTTTCAGTATTTTCCCAGGAAGAAGCTGTTATCTGCCGATACGGGTTCTTTTTATGATTTGTTCTTTATTGGTTTGTCAAAGGGTTATGGATATATGTGGGGGGGGGGGGTGTTATATTCCTTATAGTTTTGTTTTTGATATGAAGAGTTGGAAGAAAACAGGAAAACATTGAACGATCTGGGGTTTAATTAGATTTCTGACACAGACAAAATTATTTGAAATTATTTTGACATGGAAACATAGGTTCCTCAAAACAATTGGTTATTTTGGTAAAAATACATGGAGAAATGGCATATATAGGAGAAATTGTTGGATTAGAAAGAAGAAATGATTGAACTATGGAAATGGTTTGATTATGTAGAAAAAAGAGTGTAATGATGTGTGGAGGAGTTTGTCTAAATAGGAAAAGATGGAATGGGTTGAAAATTCATTAAGATTCATCTAGGAGACATTTTGAACCAGAAAATAACATAAGCAGATATAAAGTGGTGCCGTCAAAAATGTCTCCAATAAGATGTACCTTCACTGGTAGTATTTTCTTGGCAATTTACTTACACCACGCCAATAGCTTGTTATCTAAACATATTATATTGACTAGTTCAACATTATTCTACTCCCAGCTTGATGAATAGCAAAGTTCAGTTTGTAGATTGATGAAGTAATTTGCAATATCTATATATTCAACCTGGTATAGTGTTCAACCATGCTGTACCCTTTATGTACTAAATGACATCTCTTATGTGGGCAGTTTAACGCATAGCACCAAGAAATGCAACAACTTGAGAACACCCCTTTACTCTTTATATTAATCAGTTGTCTAACTTTGCAAATTTATTTGATGCTTTGCAGAATACTTCAGTTAATGATAGCACATAACGAAATCCGCAAGTGTGGAAAGGTCTGTCCCCCCTCCCCCGACTCCTCACTATCTGACCAAGTGCTTTATACTGACTGCCAGTTTATTCAATAAAGTTTATTCACTCACACATTTGAGTTTGAAATTATTGAATTATCGAAAGTGGCATTTCAATAATTTGAACAAATTATCTTAAGATTTTGAACTATTCATCTGTAACTTGTAAATATCGACATAACATTTTAAAAGAAAATTATCATTCTCAATGATTATTCAGAATTTCAGTTGTGAAAATTCTCATTTTGCGAATTTACCTGAAATGCCTTTTTCCCATCCTTTTATACAAGAATAATAAACCATTAAAATGTAGTGTGTTATTTTTCAATTTTCAAGTCAAGTAAAGAGAGTGTTTCTTTATAACACCTGTCATAGAAATGGTGAAACGGAGGTTAAGACATGTCAGGTTGTCAGAATAATAGTTTTCAGCTTGTTTATAATATACTTGCCTCTTGTAAATAGATTAATTAAGTAAAAATGATGAAATCACTGCATAAATATACATTAGTGTTTTTTTGTGGTTTTGGTTTGACATTTAGTGGTTTGGGGTTCAGAAAATTAAATGTCGAGTAACAAAATAAGATTTTTATCAGGTATGGTAGCTCTGACTATTACCTTTGAATCCCCATTGCTCAACCATATAACCCTCTGACTATTACCCTTGAATCCCCATTGGTCAACCATATAACCCTCTGACTATTACCCTTGAATCCCCATTGGTCAACCATATAACCCTCTGACTATAACCCTTGAATCCCCATTGCTCAACCATATAACCCTCTGACTACTACCCTTGAATCCGTATTGATCAATCATAGAACCTCCTGACTATTACCCTTGAATCCCCATTGGTCAACCATATTACCCTCTGACTATTACCCTTGAATCTCCATTGAGCAGCCACATAACCCTCTTACTATTACCTTTGAATACCCATTGGTCAACAATATTACTGACTTTTATCCTTAAATCCCAATTGATCAGCCATATTGCCCTCAGACTATTACCTTTAAATCTCAGTTGATCAATAATATTTCTCACATGAATAGAATGTAGCTGCCTAATGGGGATGTAAGGGTAATAGTGAGAGGGTAATGTCATCACCCAATAGAAATTCAAGGGTAATATTGAGAGGGTAATATGGCCACTCAATAGTGGGGTGGTAATAAGGCTGCCTCGCCTAGTGCGGATTCAAGGGTAATAGTCGGAGGTAATAATCCAGATAGATTATTCAGGTACATGCATGTGGAATATTAGATGTCAGTTATAGGTCAATAGAAAGTATAGAGTAATACCATCAAATCAAGCATCAATAATTCATGTCATAATATATTAGCAGGGTCTAAATGAGGCCTTCAGATAAACGAACAATTATAGCATTATTGATTCATATATAGTTGAACTTATTTATCGAAACACCTCTCATCTGTAATCAGAACGTCTTTTTAATATGAACATTTTTTGTTCTATTTTTATTATCTCACCTCTCCCTATCGTAAGTAGTGACATATTGTAATGGTCGCCAACTTTTTTATGAACGGTATTCGGCATCTGATGGTTGGTGTTTGGCATTCAGCAGTCAAGGTTGGCAACAAATGGCAGGTGGTGACAGTTTGCGTGTCAATGCCTTGTTTTAATCTGAGATAGACTACCATGTTAAAACAAATCTTTATATGTGAACACCCGCCAAGCTGAACACTTTTGGCCAGTTTCATTGATGTTTGGATTAGATTGGTTTAACTGTATAATGGCCCTCTAGGAAAATATGCTATGTGCCTATAGGATAGTCTTGATTTCAATCTTTATGCCCCCCTCCCCTTACATAGCATACGTTCAGAAGAAGAGGTGAAGAAGATGGGAGGGGGAGGAGAGATGCAAGATGGACCCATGATGTACATGAATTTATATAGACTACCCTGAATCCAGTACTAATTTGAATGATTTGATAGTTTTGACGCTGATATTACCTCTCAGAAGTCTTAATTTGTTTTTTTTAGAAATAGGCCAGATCATTAATTGTACTTGGCCTTCCTTAATGTGAATACAGATATATTATCTGTATTAGAGATTTAAAAAATAATTGATGGATAGCTCCAGTAATCGCACTTAATACCTACATATTGATCTTTACCTGGATTGAATAACCACAAGCCTGTCAGAAATGACTGATACAATATTTCACATTGAAAATATGATATGAATTGAGGGCTTAAATGCTTATGAATGTTGAATAGTTGATTGATGTACATGAATTTATATAGACTGTACCCTGAATCCAGTACTAATATAAATGATTTGATAGTTTTGACGCTGATATTACCTCTCATGCTTTTTATATGATTTGAATCTAAAATGAATGTCGGCTACCTAAAAGCAGAATATTTAGTTGATGGTTATCATTTTCTGATTGGATGTAATCAAAATAAAAAATAATCTCTTAATAAGAGGATGAACATAATATTGAGTTCTTGAAAAGGGTGAATAGAATAATGCAAAGTGGTAGAAACATGTAGAGATAAGGAAAATTTTTATCTTCCTTCCTTTTATATGTATGAATATATGTTTCATAGAGTAGACTATAGGATTGTAGACTTATGAAACTACAGCTGCATTGTAACAGTTTGTAAATACAGCTGATTGAGGGTCAAATATACAGCTAGTCAGTGGTAAGTAAAAAACTGGTTGATAGATAAGAAACAACAAAAATTGTAAAATATCATATAAGACTAAAGTTATCAGAAAAACTCAGAATTAGAGGGAAATTTGGTTATGTGCAATGTGCAGCTGGTCAAAGGTAAAGGGTAAAACAATATATAGTATAGTGCTACAGTAATACCCATCTAAGTGGAACACTTTTGGTATCTCTAAAAGTGTTATACTTTGGAGGTGTTCTACTTATAGAGGTTCATTTAACATCAAGTCAGTTGGTCTTGGGACTCTGAAAAGTGTTCCACTTGTGAGGTGTTCAACTTATAGAGGCTCATTTAACATCAAGTCAGTTGGTCTGGGAGTCTGAATAAAGTGTTCTAATAACAAAGGCGTTCAACTACTTAAGGGATTTCCACTTTATTATAGGTTTCACTATATATGATAATCAGTCAAAGAATGGCTTGTCTATGTCCAAATGTATATGTAATGTACAGCTGGTCAGTGATCAAGCTTGCAGCTGTTCTAAGGTATAACTGGTCTGTAGTCAAGATGAGTACAGCTGATCAGCAAGTAATATAGTTAGAATTGCATTTTGTCATTATACCACTACCAGAAGTGGTGGCATATTATTCTAGTCTCCATCTTTTTTGTGGCAGTGCTCAGCAGTTGAAGTTCAGCATTCGGCATCTGTAACAAATGGTAGGTTGTGACATTTTTTATGGTAATGCCTTGTTTTAGATCTGCAAATGTTCAAATGTACATATATTCTGCCTGAAGTTAATCCTCTTATCAAAGATACAAATGTCTTACTAAATTATGGAATTAATAAGAAATGAATCAAACTGGCAGTAAATGCCAAGGATTTTCTCATGCTGTATTTAAACTGACATATGACTTGTATTTTTGCATTTGTCATGCTGTATATTTTTTATATTTTATTGTTGTTAGTTTAGTATAAATTATTTTGTATATTGTAAACTGTACTGACTCAAATGTTATTGTGATTACATCAGGGTCAATTAAAGATATATAAGATCATTCATCATTTTATTTTATATTGTCTGTGTTTACTCTGCATGGGCCACTAGAAAGTTAACTTTTGGTCAATAAGTTCTACCATATGCTACCATTGTTAGTGAAACAGGCCAGTAAGTAAAATATAGGCTCATAAGTGAGATGATGCGAGATGTAGTGAATGAAACGATGTGAGTTTTAGTAAATGGACCATGGGCTAGTAAGTGAGACATGGGCTAGTATGTGAATTATGGGCTATTAAGTTAGGTATGGTCCAGTAAGTGAGATAAAACTGGGATAGCAAGTACTACATAGGTCAGTAAGTGAACCATGAGCTATGAAGTAAGACATGGGCTAGTATGTGAACCATAGGCTAGTTAAGTGATGTAGGCATGCTGTTATAAGTAACACACAGGCTAGTATGTGAACCATGGGCTAGTAAGTAAAAATAATGACTGTAGGCTGCCATTTAGAACGAACTGCTCCTAAGAAATGTATTAGTTATCATTTGAATTATTAGAAATACAAATCTATCACAATAATAATAATTGACATACCCCACACAGATATATTATTAGGTTATATAATGGTTCTTTCTGTATATCGTTTTTATACTCGAGTGAGTATATGATATATTCACAAGTGAGCGTAGCGAACGAGTGAATATATTATATTCTCACAAGTGTATAAAATGCACGATATACAGAATGAACCATTATATAATCTTATTATGCCACTCTAAGTTCAATTACAGTTGATTCGAACACAATCATAACATTAAAAACCATAAAAATATCCCATAGCCAACTCAATAATGCTGTAATGCTGATGTTGATCTCGAACCATTTATGACGTCACTTGATTCTAGGAAATCATGAAAATTTTCATGATTTTTTTATTCATTAGTTCCCAGAATCCACTTCTACAGTGATATATGCTGGAGTGTATAGGGAGGAGTTGTATACGATGACGATATACCACTCTCCAATGTATATCGTTGTTATAGACCCATGTTATACAACTCTAATTGGACTTAGAGTGGTATAATAAATGGTATACACACATTGTCACAATTTCCTTACATGTTCACTTTCCAAAATGACTATTTCCCCCAAACTCAAATTCTACACAAGCATTTTGTAAATAATTGTTATGTTATGTATTAGTTGTCTATCCTGTATATCAATAGTTCACCAAATTAACTGTCCACCCTGTAAATCATGTAGTCTTTATTAGTGGACCACCCTATCATGTTCTTCATATTAGGATACTCTTTCTTTCATGTTGTTCATATTAGTGGACCAGCCTTTATATCATGCATATTCAATACTTGCAGAGATACGAGCGTCTCCATGACGACTGGCAACAAGTGAAAGAAGACAACAAATTAGAAGCACAGAAGCATTATGAAGAGAAACTCAAAATTCAGAAAAATCTCATAAAAGCAAACGATGCTCGTGCTCGACGGAAACAACATGAGAAAGAAGTGCTTGAAAAGCAGGTGAGCATATACTACATGTGTTAGATGTATGAGACTAGCAATATTAGCTCAATTAAATTTTGGTTCGAAATTTACCTTTATTATCATTTTTTAAGAAACATAAAGTGTTATGTACAAAAAGTAGTAATAAAGTAATGGGGTGTTTCTTAACCAACCTCCTTCAATAGTTTGCAGTTGTTTGAAAAGTTTCTTTTATGCTATTTATTTTGTATATTATACATGTATATATAAAATATGTAGTTTTCAGTATCTCTCAGCTTTCTTTCAGGATACATGCATTTGCTGCAACTACAGCATAATTTGCAAATAGTTTCATGAAAAGTTTAATACTTTAGGTCATTTAGGTATTTACATTAGCAGGTTTTACAGTATTTAATCTTTTCAGGTATTTTCGATCTTTTTCAGGTTTTTTTTGTATTTTTTCAGGTATTTTTATATCTTTTGCAAGTATTTTTGTTTTAAGAAAGGGCTGAATAACTCCCCTTCCTCACAAGAGTTTGATACAATACGACATAAAACCTGTAGAGTGGTGTTCACTAGAGGCAGGTGTTTACTTAGAGAGAGGTATTCACTAAGACAGGTGTTCACATAGAGAGAGGTGTTCACTAAGACAGTTTTTACTGTATATCAAACCCTTGTTGGCATGGAGGAGTCCTTTTTTCAATAATGCACTTAGTGTTAAAACAGATTGTTGGCATTACAACACAAGTTTTGCTAGGTGAGCACATCCATGTCATAATCTGCATTAAGCAGCTAGACTTATTACATATGTGTGTTTTCATACTTTCCCAGTAGGGGAACCAACAAGATGCACCAGATGATTAAGGACAACTAAGTCATGACTGTGGTCATATTTTGAAAGTATATGTATAGGATAAATACTTTGTCATTATGTTTCTCATTGCATTTTTTTTTCACTAGAAATCATCTCATGACAAACTTGTTCATTTGGCTTCCTATGGCATTCTGATACTTATATTTCTGTTTCTCTGTCTCAGGACTGAGAAGAAATGAGATATCATGGTTTATCAAGACGTTCCTATGGGTACAGCAGCTAAAGATACTATAGACCCAGAATTTGTGAAGATATATCTTTGACAATACGTAGTAGCATCAAGTCTCTCAAACCTCCTCCCAATCTGCTTCACCCCCTTATGGAGGTGATGTATAATGGGGGGGGGGGGGTCGCAAATTGTAATGAATGAACCTTCGCTTGACCACGTGGATGTTTTTCACATATTATAGTCAATGGTTGGGGATCAGCCAAGTTTTGTGTGAACCATTGATAAAATGTTCATGTTTATCAGATCATTGCCAACTACTGTCTGGCAACTTACTCTATGCGAGATTAAAAATTTCATTTTATACTCTGCATAACTGATAAACTCCTGAAGTAAATCAGAGCAAGTTGTGCCCCAGCCACAATTTCCAGTCCATTATATAAGGTTAACATATTCTGAAACACAGACCATAACTGCCCCGCAAAGAAGGTAAATGATAGGAGGCTCATGATAGGTTAACATATCGTAGACTATAGTCGTAGACTATGGGTTGGTGTCTGATTGGTGAAACACTAAATTGTGACATGAGTACTCTGAGTCAGAGGATGGATTACTGTTACGTGATTCCAGGGTAGTTGACCTCACTTCAGTTCAAGGCAATTGCTAATAGATAGAGAGATACAACTGGGTGCATCTGTTTGGGCTGTTAGCCATTCTGTATATTTGATTTGGAATGGCTGTATTAATGCCAATCATGCTTGACCTGACATCAATCCAATCCAATATATTGTTGGTGCATAGGACAGATAGGCTAGGTGTTATGGGGTCTGTTGCTGAACATAAAGTTGGTCGTGTTGTTGGTAGCATCAAATTGTTCTTATGGGACTAGTTGTAGTCGTAGTGTCGTAGTCGTATAGGGCCAGTCATTCATACGATGTAACCATTTATACAGTTCTGAAGCAGACCTCTGAATCAGTTACGTCACATTTTTATCAGCAAATTTTCCAGAAAAAATATTCAGATTATTTTTCCAGTAGATGGAGTACATAGGCTGGATCATCAGTTTAAGAATCTTACAGCTCGCGGTTCAATCATTCCATATTTGGATAGAATAGTCCAAGAAATAGTGTTCACTCTGCAGAAATTATAAGTTCTCACTTATTTTTTGTTCAGAATTTATTGTTAGAATGTATTTAATCCCAATGTCAAAAATATAAGAATGGGTTATTAAAAATCTGGTCATTTTTATTGATAGATTAAAAACAAGAAAATTTTAAAGGGTCATGATACCATTTATAGTTGTTCACTCACTGGTCAACTTGAAATTGTGAAATTGATGAGGAAATCACATTTTACTGAATTTAAAAATAACCAGTACAAAATGTCATTCATCATTGTCCATCCCTAATATGGCTTGACCATATGACCAAGTAAAAAATCATTGTATTTGCACATGTCAAATATTCCAAGAATTTCAGTAGAGTAGTTGCATTGTCTCATTCCCGAAGGGTGCCCTGTCCCATTTTTCTTGCCATGGTCATGTGATGCGGTGCAGCCAATCAACAGATTGTATTGCAATAAGGATTATGGGCTCTGAGTCTCCCAAAGGAGTCGATGAAGATATTGATGGGAACAACAATGTTGCCGATGAAAGGAAAGTGGAGTGTATGTACAAAACAATAGAGCACCAAGAGGAGAGATTTTCAGATCAATTTTCTTTTGTTTTTAAATTGATACACTTTCTTCAAATATTACCTTTTCGTACAATAATCTATATCCGTTGTTAACTACAAGCGATAATGGGGTCTATAATGCAGTTTACCCTTAATTGCTTTTCATCAAGTATGGGGTTTATAGTATTTGAAGTAAGTCTTTGGTCAAATACTATTAATTGGCAATGTATTATGTGATCAACAGTCAAACTTAGTGACAGCTCTTTGGCCAATCAATATTGAGCATTTAGATTGTGGAAATAACAACAGACATAGTTACAGGAATATAGATTTGTCAAGATTAGGGGAAGCCAAGTAGAAAGAGTTAACTGGCTATGGCTAACCTAGGTATTTTAGCAACATGTCCAAAAGTTGTCCTTTTCTGTCTATCTTATGGAGGTGCCACACTTAGTCTATGTTGGCTCACCATTCACCAAAACAAATGGACAAAACAAATAGTTTTATAGCAAGATATCTCCCATCACACCAAATAAAAAAATCAATTAATTACTGTGATTAACAAATTAATGCCCAAAATTAGCTACATGGTTGCCAATGGGGAATCCACATGGCTAATCTGACAGCTACTTTAATGCATTTACTCTGACTAGAATGGGGACAGGTAATTGCTTATTGAAAGAGTACAGGTGAAACTTTTCAGTAGAGATTTGACGTTAAACTCTTATCAAAGGGTAAAATACATATTGTGACACCAAAGATTATTTTTGCACTCTTAATTTTATTAAAACTAAACTGCATATGTATGTTATAGAAGCCTGTGTATAATATATTTTTCACCATCTGGGCACTTTTCAAGTGATTTGCACCAAAATTTTCAAATGTGACTCCTGTCTGGAAATTTTTGAAAAGTGAACCCCCTTGGCAAAAACTGGCTACAGGCCTGAATGTTATATCGATATCATCAATTACATGTTTACCATTTCAAGATTGCTAGAGGAATCCAGTCAATTTAACTTATAGTCTAGTAAAACAAAGCCTATTGTAACATGACTCTTGGCTAATTCACAACTGACATCAATAAGGTCAAAGTTGACATCATAGTGTGACAACAGAATACCTTCTTCAAAGTAGACAATATAAGTGTGAACCTGTTGTTGTTTTATCAGTATCTATTACATATATATCAATTCCTTGTATTTTATAATATATTGGATATTGGGTGCTGGGAGAATATAGAATAGACCCTTAATGGGATAGAGGGTGTACCCATTGTTTGGAGTTCAAGCCCATCAGGTATACCAGGTACACCAAGAATCCATATACCAGGCACCATTGTTGTTTCATAGATTTATTTAGGTAATGATTTACTATATCGTTTTATCAGTGTATAAACTGTTTCGTTATACAGTATGCGACCAGGTCACGTTATCTCAGCTCTTTAAACATTTAAATAGCTATCACAAAATAACCTCTACCTTGAATCGATGAGAAAAACATTTAGTCGTCATTTTAAGAGCAAGGGTAATTTTCAAAATTATTTTTGAGTTTTTTTTATAATTTTGATTGTCTTTTATTTATTTCATGAAGCTAACATGTTTGGAAATGTATCTTGTTGTTCTTGATAGAAGTTGATGTTTTACGATTTCATGTTTGCAAATGTGAAATATCATACAGCAGTTAAATCAATTTTTCAGACATGAATAGTAAGTCAATTATCATAAATCAATCTTTATAGCACTAGCATTCCAGGATTATATGTGCAAAGAATATCATTGGAGATGAAATAGAAAACATTCAATTGAGACGTGCTAGAAATTTTGGGCATGAGAGTTGTATGAAATTAGATAGATTTTCAGACATTGTTTACCTTGAGCTTATAGTTCATTAGATGGACCACTCTTAAAGAAGCAAAATCGAACTTATCGAAAGAGAAGACATTTGATTTGATGACCATTTCATGCTCATTGGTTACCATTCTAAGTTTTGTTAATCATTGATAGAAGATTAGAAGAGTAATCAATCTTCACATTGCTCGGGAACTTTCAATCAGTCAATCTAAAAATGTGATAATCAAAATGCTAGTAAGTTGGGTTTCAATGTTTATTTCGTTTAGGTGCCCTGATTTGTGATTTTGTTGTTTTTTTCGTGTCATTCTGAATCTATTGAAAAACATTCATGTTTAGCATGTATTTATTAAAGTAATTAATTTAATATAAAGTCTTGGTCAATCAGTCCATTTGGTTTCCTTTTTGAGTTGAATTACAGAATGTTGAAAATCTCGCCGTCTGCTTTTAGAAAGGTATTATGGGTAATACAATGTGCACAG